TGATATGAATAATTTAAACAAACAAACAAAAATAAAAATAAAATATTGAATCTAATATAAATTAACAAACTAAAATTAAATCCATTATTTCCCGACAATGGGCCAAAAACTTGTTCGCGTGAAACCCGCAAGCATTTGGGATTGTTGTACAAGTAATAAGATTTGTGAGTTAAAAGTTTATTTCCACGAGGAATAAGGTCTAATTTGTAGTTCAATAGTTACTATTAAATTCGAAGCGTTGTGACATTAAAAAAATTGTGATATGTTTGTTATTTACTCTAATTCTACTCTAAAAGGTGAAAAAAAAGTGATTAAATCTGATGTGAATGTTTGTATTAGATTCATGTGTCCTCCTAATTCCATCTATTTCAATTTACAATTATCATTCTATTCGATTCATACATTTTTTATAATTGATAAAGCTAGTATGTTAACTGCTCTTTTTCATGATATATTAACCTATGACTAACATGAGACAATCCTATTCTTAATTCGAATTCATATAAAAGTCATGCATTTAGTTTAGATTATTAACAAATTTGCACGTTTGAAAGAAATGATTCCTAATTTTAACTACGAATGTTGATTTTACAAGCGTTCTTGACTCATTGTGAGTACTTCTAAACTACAACAAGCAATTAAGTACCTGATTGGTGATCAAGCAATAAATAGTGCAACGGGTATGTAAAATCATTCAAACTATAACACGAAAATTATAAATTAAAGTCTTGAATTGAAATGAATGAAAATAGAGTTCAAACATTCATCCAATATAATTGAAAAACCTAGCCAACCATCATAATTATTAAATTATACAAGAAATAATGAAAAGACATCACCTGGATCGAAGAAATGAAAGACAGTGGAGAAAATGAAATCTTGATTTTTGATGGATAATCTTCAAAAATCTGCACAATTCCTTGATCTTGATGATCTAGCCTCGTTCTTTACCTCCAAAATAAATGAAATATAGAGATTTTTTGGTATAGGGAGTCTCCATGTTTTGGACTGATTATGGTATTTAAAGAATGCCTAAAAAATTATTACCAAAGTAGAGTTTCAATTGAAAAAAGAAACAAAATCTTGCATCGAAAAAGTACTATGCGGTCGCATAGTGCAAATGGAAGCAATTGCATAGAAGAAATCATTGCTAATCCCGAGAGCTTTGGAGGCATAGATACTGTCACATCTAATTGAACCATTGCAGCCACATAGGCTAATTTTTTTGTCGAACAGATTTCAATATTTTGGCCATATCTTTCTCTTCCTATATTTGATTGGGTTGATTCAAAGTGCGTTGGAAAGCTAACTCAAAAATTTACAAATCTTCCAAAAATGTCATTTTTCAATTTCAAACTTTGCTTTGCAAAATGGGTTTCAAACTGAAATTGAAAATCCAAAGCATAACTTTTTTAGTTGAAAGTTGATGTATAATAATAATTTGACTATATTTCATCTCTTTGACTTCTTTTTTCATCAAATTGACCCTAACACTCTTGAATCTTCATCATGAGGTTCGATACAATTTTTAAGTATTTGCACTTCAATCCCCAAACTTTGAACTTGTTTCATTTAAGTCATCTTCTCTTATAATCTTGTTCATTTATCTTCCAAATGTATCCAATTAAATTATTGGCATCTTCTATCTTCATTTTTTCACCCGTCTCCTCTATAAATTGTAAGCAATTTAATCCTCGAATTTCAGATTTCATCATTTTTCACTATTTGTGCATTCTTTTCTCAAATTCTTTTTTAAACATCGAGTTTTACCTATATAATGAAATATAATACAAGTTAGGTAGTATTTTATCCAAAGAATAGTAAAATATCATTTTTTAGGACTTCGAATAAGTGTAGAAACTATACTTATTGCTTCACAACCACATAATCTCAGTAGTAGTGGNGTAAAATATCATTTTTTAGGACTTCGAATAAGTGTAGAAACTATACTTATTGCTTCACAACCACATAATCTCAGTAGTAGTGGATATCATAGCTTGATATTCTGCCTCAATAGATGAATGCAAGGGACAACAACATGTTTCTTACTTTTCCAAGATAAGAAAATTACCCCAAAAAAATAATAAAAAGGCCTGTAATGAACTTACGATTAGTGGAATTACTGGCCTAATCAAAATCATAGTAGGCACAGAGAACTAAAGAAGAAGTTGAAGAAACCAAAAGAATCCGAAAGCAAGTACCACGAAGATAGTGCAAAATATGAACAACAGCTGCTCAATAAACTGTAGTAGAAGTTGAAACAAACTGACTAACAATGTGAATAGTATAAACAATATCGGGACTTGTACTAGTGAGGTAAACCAAACATCCAACAATAATGTAGTACAAAGTGAGATTAGTCAAAGGTATACCACTAGGAGGTGAATATCGAACGTTGATCTCAAGAGAAGTCTTAGCAATTTTAATATCAGTAAGACGAGCACGCTCAATAACATTTATAGTATACTTAGACTGAGAGAAGAGATAACCTCTATGAGAATAAGCAACTTTGATCTCTAAATATAAGATAATGCATCGAAGTCCGTCATTTCAAAACGATGAGCTAATTCTGATTTCAAATTAGCAATTTCATGAACATCATCGCCAGTAATAATCATGTCTTCAACATCTAGTAAAAATAGAATATGACCAGCTGAAGTGTATTGAAATAATAGTTCAGAATCATGATGACTGGATATAAAACCAAGAGAGGTAAAAATATAAAAAATTTCTCAAACCAAGCACAAGATACTTGTTTGAGATCATAAAGTGTGTTTTTGAGTTTTCAAACGTGTCCAAAGGTATGAGAAACACCAGGATGGGGAACCATATAAACATCTTCTGGAAGATTTTCATTCAAAAATGCATTTTTGACATCTAACTGAGAGAGACCCCAATGATGAACAAATAAACCGCAATACGAACAGTGGTCATTTTGGCAATAGAGGCAAAGGTCTTCCTATAATCTAGACCGTACTAGTGAGTAAGTCCCTTAGCAACTAATTTAACGTTGTAATGCCCAATTAAACTAACAGATTTTGGTTTTATTTTATAAACCCAACGAAAATCAGTAGCATGTTTACCTAGAAGTATTGCAACCAAATTCCAAGTGTTTGTGTTATATAAAGCAGAGAGTTCATCAACCTTAGCCAATTGCTAAAGAGAATCCAAAATAGCTTTTATCAAAGAAGAGGGTTCAGATAGTTTATGAATAAAGGTTAAGAAATAACAAAAGGATTTCGAATAACATGAGTAAGTAAAATTAGGCAGCTGAGTGGACTTACAAATACGTTGAAAATATCAAGGAGCGGGAGGAGCATGAGCACGATCAACGATCTCTGACGGTGCTTGAGAAACCATAGAAGGAGGAGAGATATCATGAGCTGGCGCATGTATACCTATTGTATATAAAGGATCAACAATACATGTGGTATAGAAAGATGATCTATCAATATCATCAGATAATGGATCAATACAAATGAGGTCGGACTTAGTTACGTCACGGGTTTTATCAAAGTTAAAAAGAATGGGATATGCTCAAGAAACACAACATGATGAGAATCATATAGTTTTTGAATAATGGGATCAAAATAGCGATAATACTTTTGGCCTTGCCCATAGCTTAGGAAAACACTGAGAGACGAGCGAGATGTCAATTTACTATGTTTGGCTTTATGACGAAAGACAAAGCAAGAAGAACTGAAGACTCTCAAAGGGGAATAATTAGGAAAATGCCCAAACAATGTTTCAAATGATGATAAACTTAAAGTGTAAAAAAATGGAATCTTTTTAATCAAGAAAACAATGGTGACAATTGCTTCTCCCCAAAATTGTTTGGAACTTTAGTAAACAAGGGAAGAGAACGAGTAGTTTCTACAACGTGCCTATACTTTCGTTTAGCAACACCATTTTGTTGTGAGGTGTTAATGTACGAGGTTTGACGAGATCTGCCATCAAATGCAAGTAATTCAGAGAAATCAACAGAAATATACTCCTTACCCAAATCACATCTAAAGTACTTAATTATAACAGAATATTGAGTTTTAATAAGTACTTTAAAAGAACAATAAATAGAAAGAAAAGCCAGTACGCCGTTTTGTAACATAAACCCAACAGTAACAATTATAGTCATTAATAGAAAAAACACTTCAAGAAAAAATGTAAAACAAAAAGTTTAGCTAGTTTGCAACCACTATAATAGAAACATCATGAGTTTACAAATCTCTCAATTAACGTTTATAAACTAAATTTTAAACGACTAGCAGAAATATGTACAATACGAGAGTGCCACAATTAAAACTAGAAGAATGGGAATTCAAAGAAAAGTATGAGGAGTAAACAAGAGAGGATGCAACATGTGGTGGTCCCATATGATTCGGAGCATATAATTTTTCTGTATGAGCTATTATAATCAACTTCTGAGATCGAGGATCCTGCACATAACAAGCGTAGAAGAAAACTGAACTAAGGGCCATTTGATTTCAAGAATGAAATTTGGGTGGAAAGAAAACGAATTCCAACGAATTGAATTGTCTAGAACTTGTTTTATTGAGAATTGTCAATTAAAAATGTTTGATTAGTATAATTTTCACCTAGATAATATTGCAACTTTGGATCTTTTGGTATTCATTTGACTTTGTTTTCCATGAAAATTGTCAATTAAAGAGATAGAATTTATTTCAATTGCCAAAATAAAATATAAAAAAGAAAACCTAAAAAACCAAAAACCACCAAACCCATTGGAAAACCAATTCCTCAAAAAGGTGAAAACATGTGGAAAATGGGGTTTGCCAAGAAAACCAATTGCCAAGAAAATTTAGCCAATCAAACATGCAGAAATGTGGAAAATGGAATTTAATTTCCTACTTCCATGGAAAATTTGTGCCATCAAACTGGGTTTAAGTATCTAAAATCATACAAGTGGCCAGTAGTTATAAAATTTAAAGTAAGAGATGGAACATAATAGACATCTGAAAGCAATAAATTATGTATGTTAACAGAATCGACACATGTTAAGGTTGATGGAGTGCCATCAGCCATCATAACAGACAGATAAGTTAGAAGGGGGCAAGTCATTATAGAATTTTAAGTTAGATGACATGCGTTTGAAAGCACCTAAATCAAAGATCCATGAGGAAAAAATAACTAAGAGACTCTAAGATGACAAGCCTAAATGAGTAGAGATTGACATAGCATGTAGTTGTGGCTAAGAACTTCTGAAACTGCTCTGCTAAATTAGTCAACATGAGACTGGAGAAAGATGGTGTTCCAAGTATAGACGAGTCACCAGGTGGCATGTTGTTAGTATTAACGACGATAGGATCGTTGTTGTGGTGGATGTTTCTTCAATAGCTTAGAACATTGAGACTTCCAATGTCCATTTTTTTTGCAAAAGTTACACCCATCACTAACAACTCGCACATAACCTTTGTTCTGATTCTATATGGACGATTGAGAGGGCACATGCAATACTGAGATGCTAGATGGGGAAAGAGATACTTCTCTTGTCAGATATTTGAAATGAGTCTCTTCAACCACAAGTTCACTAACCACCAAATCAACTGAAAGAAGTGGAGTGCGATGCAAGATAGAGCTTCTAAGTCCGTCAAAGTTACTGCGAAGTGCTATAAAAAACTGAACTAGCCACTGTTCCTCTCTCTAAGTAATATATTCCTCACAAGCTTTAGATCATGTGATCCTACAAGAGCCAACTTATCCCAAATTGAATTCATAGCAGTGTAAAACTCAAGAATACTCATATTCTTTTGTTGTAAAGCCCGTATGTCATTCTTCAACTGATACTGGTTTGCAAAATTAGACTTAGCCTTTATTGGAGCCCCATTTTTTTCCAAACTCATTTCAACCACACATTCCCTTAATAAAATAATTTTATATTTAAACCTAAAACTTTTTCATACTTTTCAACCACATATTCCCCAAAAAATCACAGTTCCAAAATCTATTTTTACCAAATAATGGGGCCCAAATAAAGACTTAATGTACAACCTCTAAAAATGATCCCAAATTTCCTTCGCTATTTCATACTTCGCCAATTGTGTACCAATGGTTTGCTCAACAAAATTATAAATCCAAATAAGAATTTTCGCATTGTTTTACTCTCAATTATCTAACTCCTTCATATAATTATGAGCAGTGCTCTTGGGGTTAACAATAGTTCCACAAATATAATTCCACAATCTTTTTTCTTAAGAAAATTTTCTCATCACAATACTCCAATATGAGTAATTCTTACCATTTAATTTAACACCAATTGATTGAAGTGAATCATCCCTTTCAGTGGCATCATGAAGTCAACAAAAGAACAAAAACGAATAAAAAATGATTAAACTCACACAACAATCAATGCACCACTACGAATCTCCACTGTAATATACTGCACAACGTACATAGAACCAAACTAATACTATCAAATGATCAGAAGCTTACCAAGAAGCACACCATCTCGTTGGAGTTCCATTAGAAAACGAGCTACTTGCCCTTTATGTGTCTACGTGTGATGCTTCACTCGACATAGCCGATCAAGGTTGTTCATCTCGTCACTGTTAACCCAAATATGTTCACAATCTCTAGACAGAGGTCACTTGGAGAGACATTGAGGAAAAAAAATTAGTGGCTCAATGAAATACAAATTAGGGTTAGATATTTCAATTGCACAATATTATGTGAGGATGAAAGAAAGGGAAAAAAGCAAATTCAATGTACAACTTTATGCTCTAATACCATGATAACAATATAATCCAATATAAAGAATCAAATACATAGAGAAGAAAACAAAGAGAGGAAGAGGAAAGAGAATTATTGAGATACCAAGCTTACGGTAAATAATGAGAAACAATTGTTTATTTACTACAAAAAAGGAAGATACTAAGCTACCCTTAACCAATTTTCCCTACAAAAAGACCAGAATTAGATTAGAACTGTGATGAAGTTGATGGTCGATCCTCTTGTTTTTCGACGAGAATACACCTTGATGGAGGACCAAACATGCTCAATAGTACCTGGAAAAGAATAATAAGCCAAGAAAAAGCTTAAAAAATAACTTATAGTTGGAAAATGCGTACTTGTGTTCTAACTTATGTTGTAACTCCTACCTTATTGTCAATTTATGCAACTTTTACTAATTGAAAGTGAAAAAATGTAATTTGAATATGTGTGGAAACAAAAGGTTGCTTAGATAAGTTTAAGTAGATAACACATTTACAGTAGTCAGCAATTCAGAGAAATTGATACCCCAGATTATAGTTTTAAGGTAGTTAATAAATAAAAATTATTCATCTAACTTGTAAAGCTTGTTCAGTAAATAGGGAATGTATTGTGTTCGACTATATAAGAAAAAATAAAAAAGATAACATCTCATTGACTGTATTGTATTTTTGTTAAGTTTATATCTCCCATGAAAGAAAGATTAATTTGTCTTCAATTCTTAAAGATTAACAGCTTTTTTCCCCAAAAAGACAATTTGTAGAATAAAAACGGATGATAACTACGAAGATCTTACAGGTAAAAAGACTAGGCCATGCAGGAAACCAAGGAGCACCAAAGCAAGATACATTTTGAAATAGTAAACCTGCAAATAATCGAGTAAAATTAAGATCACTAGGAAAAAAAGTAGCTTTTCTTATGCATGAATCTAAATGCGAGAGAAGAGATACCACAAAGACTTCGGTCTTCGAAAAGCAAAGAACAAGCACACCAACGAGCTTCGTGAGGGTAATTCCACTGCCAAAGAGAAGATGAAATCATCGGCTGAATCATTATATATTGACGAAAAAGGAAATGGCATCCAAAAGTCTTCTCAAAAGATTAGAAAATTCATGCAAGAAAGGAACTTTACAAATAAAAATAATTAATAGAGTTGCCTTCCGTTTGGCCCCCATTCTTGTCAAATTTTAAAGGTTGGAATAGTGTTTTTTTGAAAAATGTGTGGTTGAAAAAAATGAAAAGTTTTTTATTTGCATGTGATATTATTTTATGAAAGATTGTGTGATTGAAAATAAGAGAGAGAAAAAGAATGAGAAGGAGAATGGGGGCCAAACAGGGGCTTGAGTTCGAGTATGAAAGCGGAGAGAAATTAAACCTTGGCTAAAAGCTCAAGGTATATTTATGCTGCATTTGTAGAAGAGGTTCTAAGTTACAAGTTATATAAGCAATTGTGGAATAGGATTCATGTAGCCAACCCATGTTTGGATAAGATTTAAAAAATGTAAACTTACATCTTCGAAAGTAAAGATATGGTTTTACAATATAAAGATTTTCAACCAAAACACTTCAAAAAAAAAAACCCATAATTTCTCAAAAGTTCAAACATGTTAGGTAAAAAAAGTTTACTCAAAAGTAACTTTTTAGCTTAAACATGATGCAAGTTCAACTTCAAACTTCGCTGAACCACACCACATAAACGCAACTGAAGCAGCTTTTCTAAAATAATGTGCAAGCCAATGCACAGGGTATTAAGCCATCTCTAGCGCTGCACCAAACCAAAATTCACCTCCAACCATTATACCAAAACTTACACAAAATTAACAGTGTTTTATTATTTTATTCATTCTTTCGATTTTTGACAATGTATTAATTTTAAAAAATTATTTATTTATTTATTTTATAACTATATAAATTACTAAATCATAACTTCGTTAAATTAACAAATATATTCAATTATTCACATGTTTTACATATTATGTTAAATTGACGAAAATAACTGATTATATTATTAATTTATTATAAACAATTACGCTAAATTTACAAAAATAATTACTAAATTAAAGAATCCTTAATTATTATTAATTATATTATTAAAAATAATAAACTTAAATAATATAATTAATATTGTAATTAATTATTATTATTATTATTATTATTATTATTATTATTATTATAAAACGAAAATGACACAAATACCTTTAATCATTATCTTTGAAAAATGAAAAAGAATGGCAAAACGGACATTGTACCATTTGGTGCAAAAAATGGTGCAATGAACAGGGTTGCACCAAATATGGAGCAACACTATTCATGCTGCATCATTTTACAAAAAAATGGTGCAAAGATTGGAGGGAGATTTGCACCAAATTTTGGTGCAATTTGGTGCAATAAGGTACCTATTGGAGATGGCCGTATGCCTTTTCCTTTGTATAAGCGTAAAAAATTAAACCAGCCACTCCTAGGGAAGCATATCAGAGGGTGGACTAAGTTGTATCATCCAGTGAATATGCAAACTAGGGGATGCATCATTTTAAAACAATATAATTACCAATTGAGACTAACTTTTTTATTTTTTTTGGAGAAAGAAGAAAACTCTATAACATGGACACTTCATTTAGGATAGCGTATCCGTGTTGGACACATGTCAGATACTGACATTCCTCAAACACTCTATCACAGTCCTTTTTTATCAGAAATATTATATATTTTTACTTCAAAGTTATTATTAAATAACAAATATACTCATATCTAAAAGATTTCGACAAGAAAAATTAATAATAACTATAAAGCTAAATTTATACTATTTAAATAAAGAATTTATTCAACGTGTCGACGACATGTCGTGTCCGCAATTTTTCAAAAAATTGCATGTCAATGTGTTGGACACATGTGCCCGTATCGATACTTCATAGGAAGAAAGGAATTAAGAAATATTTGGTGCTAATATCATTTATTTGCTATTTTCAATTTATCATAGCCCCAAACCACATGCCGTAAAATCAATGGATACTAGATATTTCGACTATAAATAGTTCATCAAAACTTTTTCATGTGAAGTTAAATATGAATTAGGAAGGATAACGTTGCGTTGTATATACTATTTTCTCCTTTAGACCCATACAAAGTCAAACCAAAGTACCAGACGACCCATTTGTAGACCAATGAAGTAGAAGTTGAGAAATGGCCAATAAAAGATCCAGGAAAGCTTTCTTAACAAAAAGAGGTAAACCTGAATACGGAGGCCCCCATTGTCGTCAAAGCCTCCTTCATGCGTTGATTTCTATCTCCATTACTTACCTGGTATGGAAAAGTGAAGTAAGCAGATCGTGTAATTCAGCATATTAAAAAAAAAATGGTACTCAAGAATGAGATATACAGGAAATAAACAAAAGAAACAGTAGTTTATTTAACAAATATTTACAAGACAGGTAATGGTAAAAATAAAAAATAAAAAAAATCAACATTCAGATCATATACCCACCCAGTCCACGTAACCCATCATAGATCCCAAAAGCATGTATGCATGCAATTGCTCTCAAGAAAGAAAAAAATGATAGATAAAGACATTATATTCCTTGCTTAAAAAAATAACTAAGACTAACCAAGAAAGCATGTGTAATATGCACACAGAACTCGACAGCTATACCCACAGACATTATGAGGTTAACAACAGAAACTGCATTGAGTTGAATTTTCAAAATTGCCATTACACCCTGCATCATACAATTCCATGAGTATAACGAGTTAGAAAGTTGTTATATAGTGCTTAACATCAAATTCTTTTTTTTGAAGTAAACAAAGTTCCATAACAGTCGAGAAAAAGGAAATGTACCATGATATCCACCACGATCATTATCATGACAAGAAGAATAATTGCTGAAGTCCAGAAACTAAACACAGAAAGAGGTAAAGAAAGAAGCAAATTAAAATGTTTAAATGGGAGAAGTAACAAATTTAATTAGAAATCTAAGGCAAAAATACTGACCTGCATGTGATGACTAGACAAACGATGAAAACAGCACCTGTCAAATTATAGCAAAACTAACTCAATGTCTTTGAGATGGACCCAAAAAATTAACAAATGTGCGAATACATATAGTAAGCCAAATGCCCTATTAGAAGTTGGGAGGTTGAGGGAGATTATATAACTGTGATTCAAGTGTTTGAAGGGTAAAATAAGGTTTCTCTGCACCATTTGGAACCAGGATATTCATTTCCTGGACAGAGGGTTGCTGATCAAATAGGAAATTAACTCGGTTTGCCTGCAAGTGCAGTTCGTTGAAAAGAGTACAAGTCTATGAAAAGTTCTAACCAGTAGCGATAGCTAGGTTGATTAGCGCCGTCTTCCATATGTTGAGATATTGCTCGAAGAACATATAAAATACAGCATATGGGAACATCTCAATCTGCATTTGAGAAACCTTGTCAGAACTAAAAATAGCAGGAAGTTCATGATTCATGAAGTTATGTATAATGCAACATTAGCGTTGATCTGTGTATGTGTGTTCTCAAGCACACTTGTAGCATGTTTAGTACGTAAGTAGATAGTATAATGAACAAGATTTTAGTATCTATTTTCCTTTCAAAAAAGAAAAAAGACAAAAGAAAAAAGAAAAAAATAAATGAAAAAGATTTTAGTGTGTTTTTTCTTTAATGCCATAGAGTACTATCAAATTCTTCTTATCAAACATACTGTAAGAGATAGACCGACAGATGAGCAGACGGATAGACAGACAGAGAAATTGTGTGCTTTAAAAATTTAGTATCAAGGACGAACAATGTACAGCGTAGTTTTGCAGTACACAGTCGAGCCACATTTTTAAATACAGTACATAAAACCATTGCAAAATGGAAAGAACCAGAAGAACCAAAATGCAGGATTTGTAGCAGAAAAAAAAAAGTGAACTTACAGACTCTATTCTAAGTGAAAAGAATAATAAAAAGTATCAAATATGAACAACCCAGTTGCACGTCTATATATAGTAATTTATGGAACTACCTACACCTGATACCAACTCACATCAAATTAAATATATATACCTTTAAGGAATCAGACATTTTTGAACTAAAATCTCGTGCTGCTCTCATTGACTTGACAAAATCAGACTGAGAGAGGAAAAGCCAGGTTTTAGAAGAGTAAGTAACAGAAATTAAAATACTGTAGAACAAACTTTT